GCAGATGACACAACCCTGCTTGCTGAAACTGAGGAGGACTTCATGCACTTGCTACGAAGGGTCAAGGACTGCAGCCTTCAGTATGGACTGAGGCTCAATGTCAAGAAGACAAGGATTCTTGCCATTCACCACATTAACAAAGTAAATAACAATAACCATATGATATTAACAAATGACACAGAAAAAGCATTTGACAAAATCCGACACTGCTTCCTGATAAAGACTCTCAGCAAAATTGCAGTAGAAGGAAAATTCCTCGATTCAGTGAGAAGTATATATGCAAAACTAAGAGCCAACATCATCCTCAAGTGAGAAGACTAAATGCATTTTCTTTGCAAACAGAGACCAGAGACAAGGATGTCCACTGTCACCACTTCTATTCAATATTGTATTGGAAGTGCTTGCTAGGGCAATACTACAAGAGAAGGAAATAAAAGTCATCCCTATCAGCAAAGAGATGGTTAAACTATTGCTATGTGCAGATGATATGATAGTGTACACAGAAAATGCCAAAGACTCAGCAAAAAAAAACCAACCCTGTTAGAGCTGTTAGATGTCAATTTAGATGTAGACTGGTACGATATAAGATCAATATCCAAAAATCAGTGAGATTACTTTACAGTAATAAAGAGAACTCAGAGAAGGAAATCAAGAAAACAATACCATTTACAATTGCCAACCACAGATTGAGATACTTGGCAGTGAACCTAACCAGAGACACAAAAGACCTGTACAAAGAAAGCAAGAGAATATTTCTGGAAAATAAAATAAAATACCTAAAGAAATGAAAAAATGTGCCCTGTTTATGTATAGGAAGACTCAATAATGTGAAAATGACAGTGCTACCAAAAGCAATCTACATGTTCAATGCAATCCCAATCCAGATACCAACCTCATTTTTCAAAGAAATAGAAAAAGGAAATTTTAAAATTTATTTGGAGAGGCAAAAGACCCCAAATAAGCAAAACACTTCTGAGAAACAAAAATGAAGTGGGAGGCATAGCACTCCCTGGCCTCAAAACCTACTAGACAGCAGTAGTAACCAAAACAGCATGATACTGGTACAATGAGAGGCACACAGACCAGTGGAGCAGAATTGAGAACCCAGAAATAGACCCAGCTATCTACGGTCGACTGATATGTGACAAGGAAATCAAATCTATCAAATGAGGAAATGACAACCTCTGGACTTCCAACTGCAGAAATCTGTAGCAGGATCCACATCTCACACCATACACAAGAATCAACTCAAAGTGGATCAGAGACCTGGGAGTAGAGACCCAAACCATTAAGTTCATTAAAGACAGACTGGGACCAAGCTTAGATGGCCTAGTCTATGGTATAAAGAGACTGCCAAATACAGCCAGAATGCTCAATCTGGAGAGGGTAAAAATTGATGAATGTGATACTCTAAAGATTAATTCCCTGTGCACATCAAAAACCTTTTCCAACAGTGTGAAAAGACTGGGAAAAAATATTTGGCAATACCATTTCAGGCAGGGTCACATATCAAAGGGCCTCCATAGGAAAAAGACTAATAACCCATTTACAAAATGTGCGAAAGACATGGAAAGACTTCACAGAGGAAGATATTTAGATGACCAAAATATACATCAAGAAATGCTCCAGATCACTGGCAATAAAAGAAATGCAAATCAAAATCACGTGAAGTGCCATCTCACTCCAGTAGCAGTGATAAACTTTAACAAGACAGCAAGTAATCAATATTGGAGAGAATGTGGCAAGATAGGAACTCTTAGACATTGTTGGTGGAATTGTAAAATGGTACAAACACTCTGGAAGAAAGTTTGGTGTTTCCTCAAAAAGCTGAACGTAGAAATTCCACATGATCCAGCTATTTCACTGCTTGAAATGTACTCCAAGAGAATGAGAACTGAGGCACAAAGTCTTGTATACCTATGTCCATAGAAGCATTATTCACCATCATAAGAATATGGAAATAGCTCAAATGTCTAACCACAATTGAATGGATTGAGAAATTATGATACATTCCCATGATTAAATCCTATGCAGCATGCAGGAGCAATGGTTTTGCAAATTATTACCTAACTTGGGAGGGACTGGATAGCATTATGCTGAGTGAACTAACTCAGTCCCATAAGGACAAATATTGTGCAAGACCATTATTGTAGAATGAGTATGATCATCTAAAGAGGGAGAGGGTGGTGAGGATCCAGAGGGCTGAAGATGGGCTGTGGAGAGGGGTATTAATCACAAGGTAGCACAATTTTATGAATGGAGGGAGGTGTGTGTGTGTGAAGGAAATGTGAAAGATTCAGTGTGAAAAATGATATATACGAACTTTGTAAATAAACCAGTATATTAAAAAAAGAAATAAGAGCATAGCACATTTTCTTAGTTAACTTTTCTAGAAGTATCTCTCTCTCGTTTTCTACTTCCTCACTCCAATCGGTCATATCATTCTTAGCTGTCTGTGGTACAGTCTAAACCATTAATTTGTTGGTTGTTACTCCTGGAAACTGCAATTCAAAATCTCTTTGCAGCAATTCTGGACATGTTTGGAGTACACACTCTACTTTGGCACCTTTAAAGTAGGTTTCTGCACTACTGTCTTCTTGTTCAACAGGTATTTCACTACCCTGAAATTCATTAACATACTGTACCATCACAAACTCTTGACTTTCACTCGATAAAGGTTCTACCAGGACATTGGACAATGCTTTATGCATCTGGCTTTTCCTCTGTGAAGCTGTCCTATCAGGTAGCAATCAAAGCCCAGGTTCCTGAGGAGTTGGAACCTGTGATCTTGTGGTTCAAATGGTCCCATAGTTTTATCAGGCCAGACTGTTAGAGAGCAGTTATCTGGTGGTGCAATGGCTACATGAAACTCTTCAGAATCTGAAGATCCTGCAATTGAAAAGGCTCTGGCACTGATAACCTTTTTAACCAATGAGCAAAATCCTGGAGGTAGAATACCAGCCTGGCTCTCCTATAGAGCACATTGGCCATTTCTAGTGGGGAGGGTGGACATTAAATTACGTTTCTTTAGAAAAGTTATCCAGTTATCACCACCACCTTCAGCTACTCCAGACCTGAACTCTTCTCCTTGCCAAAATGGGGCCCTACAATGGATGGGTAGAGGGAGGGTTGGGGTAAAGGAAATGAGAAAGTTCCAGTGTGAAAAATGATGTATACAAATATTGTAAGCAAACTAGTATAAAAAAATAATTTAAAAAACAACAATTAAAAAAAACCCTTCAACAAAACCAATGAGCAAAAAAACCTCTCTCCAAAACAACCCTTAGATCCTGGTAAAACAGAAATGAGCTGATTCCCCTTATCATGAAAAGAAAATGAATTATCTGGAGATAGAAGAAAACTTAAATAACATTTTGGTGGCAGAGGGTGGGGGAAGTTTTCATTTTACAGAGGAGGAAACCAGCCTAGAGTTTGTGTTTAAAATAACTATACAAGTTGGACTGAAGAAGCATGAAAACTCCAAAGTTACTGACTCCGACCTAATTTCCCACACACCTTGTCCTCTTCCTGATTGTGTTCTAATTGCCTGATGGCACTTGTTGCTGCTGTTAGTTACTGGCAAGTTGACTAGAACTCATTTTGTTGTGATTAGGTGCCATCGAATCAAGTCTGCCCTTTGAACAATAAGACCTGAATTGTGTCTTGTTCTGCGTCATCCTCATTGTCTCTGACACACTAGAGTCCACTGAGGCCGTCACTGTGTCAATCCCTTTCATTGAAGATCTTCCTCTCTTCTCCAAGCTCCCACCTTTCCTAGCATGAGGTACCTCTCCAAGGAATAACATCTCCTAGCAACATGCCGAAAGTATGTGAGATGAAGCTGTGCCATCCTTGCCTCTAAGGAGCACTGTGGGTTTACTTCCTCTAAGAAGTATCTGTTCTTTTGGCAGACCATGGGATATTTAGTAGTCTTCTCTAATACACCAACTCAAAGGCATCAATTATTCTGCTGTAATTCTTTTTCACGATCCAGATCTTGGATGCACAGCAAATAATTGAAAAGACTATGGACTGAATCAGGTGTCATGCCATAGTCTTCAAACTGACATCACTGTTCCTCAGAACTTTAGAGAGGCACCTGACAGCGTAGTTTCCCATTGAAACAAGTTTTTTGATTTATTTTATTTTAAATAAAACTTTTATTTTAATGCATACCCGTGTTTATTGAGGCTTTGTTCACAATAGCAAGGAGTTGAAAACAATCTAAGTGCCCATCCACAAATGAATGGATAGAGAAGCTGTGGTATATTCACACAATGGAACACTATGCTGCATTGAAAAATAAGAAGCTTATGAAATATTACACAAAATGGATGATCCTTGAGGACATTATGCTGAGTGAAATATCTCAGTCACAAAAAGACAAATACTGCATAAGTCCACTGCTGTAAAAAGGGCTGACATTTGGGTTGGGGAAGAGACTGAGAAAGATGAGATAAATTATGTATACAGCATTGAAACAGATGAGGGAGAGAACTGTTTAAAAGGGATATGTTGTTGTTGTTGTTGTTATGTGCCGTCGAGTCGCCTGCGACTCATAGCGACCCTATGTACAACAGCCCTAAACTCAGCTCTGTCCTGTGCCAATCGCACTCTCTGACACTCCCATCCCGATTCCCCCAGTCACTGAATCAATCCACCTCATAGGGGACCTTCCCCTTCTGCTCTGTCCCTCCACCCTCCCAAGCATGATGTCCCTCTCCAAGGACCTGTCCCTCCTTACAACATGTCCAAAGTATGTTAGATGGAGCCTCAGAATCCTTGCCTCCAAGGAGCCGCCCGGTTTGACCCTTTCCAGGATGAATCTGTTTGTTTTCCTAGCAGTCCATGGTATTCTCAATACTCTTCTCCAGCACCACAGCTCAAAGGCATCAATTCCCCTTCTAGCCTCCTTAGACATTGTCCAACTCTCTGATGCATAACAAGTGATAGTAAAGACCATGGCCTGTATCAGATGCACCTTAGTCCCCAAAGAGATATCATTGATCTTCAGTATTTTGGAGAGGTCCCTAACAGCAGACTTTCCCATGGCAGTGCATCTTCTAATTTCCTGGCTATTGGTGCCAAGAGTGTTGACTGTGCAGCCAAACAAACTGAAGCTGTGAACAATCTCAATCTCTTCACCATCCATCTTGATGCTGCCAATTGGCCCAGTGGTGAGAATTTTTGTCTTCTTGACATTGAGCCTCAATCCATATTGTAGGCTGCAGTCCTTGACCCTCTGTAGCAAGCGCTTCAGGGCCACCTCAGTTTCAGCAAGCAGGATTGTATCATCTGCATATCACAGATTGTTGATAGATCTTCCACCGATCTTGACCCCACATTTCTCCTCATAGGTGAATCTTTTTCTCACATACTTTGGAAATGTTATCGGGAAGCTTGTTCCTGGGGAAAGGCATTGTGCTTAGCGATGTAAATGGTTAACCAAAGAAGAAGAAGGCCTGTAGGAGGTTGATTGACATAATATTTGCACTATTAGGCTTAAGCATAGCAAAGATTGTGAAAAATCACAGGACCAGACAAGGGTGAATTTGATATTGTATGTAGGCTTGCTGTACATTAGAGGTGACTCACTGGCTCCTAACAACAATCACAACTTGGATGTTTCAAGGTTACTCTCAACATACAAGTTCCATCTTTTATATTGCAGATGTGACTCCAAAATTTTACAGGTGGAGAGAGCTGAGGGCAGGATATCAGCAGGAAAGTTTGGGTGCAAAGATGTCGGTGTGACTATGAACTTGTAGTCCCAAGAAATAAGATGAACAATTGTATTTTTCATGTGAAGCTGGAAAGTAACAGTTCTGTGATAGTGAAGGCTGTGTGCATTGAGGCTGGGCCATAAAGCTCAGTTTTTGGTAGTTTTGCAGCCATGTGGTTACCTTGCTTATCTTGATGTCATCAGCATCTGCAGCTCTGTGAATCAAGAGAAGCCTTCAGCCTGACCCGTAGACTTAGGATTTGCCAGCCTCTGCAACAAACGTGTGAGCCATATTCTTGAGATAAATCTATCTTTATGAATATACACTTTTGTGATTTTGCTTCTCTAAAGAACCCAGCCAAGATAAGATCCAAATATCTTTTTCTTCCAAGAGATCCATTTCTTTTCTAAGTCATTACTAATGTCACTAATTTATTCTTACTTTAAAAGTAAGTGGCTTTTGGCTATAGATACATAGAAATTACAACAAAAGATGAGAATGAAAATTTTCTAAGAATTTCTCCATTTGAAAAAAAGTTTTCATTCTGTCTTGCTGCATTAAGCACTCCTTTGAAACGGAAATGAAAAATTCTGAGAATTTCTACAAATTCAGTCTCTTTATTCTTCTAGTCTCATTTTCCCTTCTTCAACCTGAAGGTTGAAGGAACTACAGCAGAAGAAGACTGTGAAACGAAAAGGATGAATTTTTAACAAAGTTCAAAAGTTTATTCATTTATTCACCAAATGGTTTTTAGTATTTGTTGTTGTTGTTATGTGCCATCGAGTCGTTTGCGACTCATAGCGACCCTATGCACAACAGCCCTAAACCCTGCTTTATCCTGCGCCAAACGCACTGCCTCTGACACACCCATCCCGATTACCCGAGTCACCGAATCAATCCATCTCATAGAGGGTCTTCCCCTC